GTTTGGGAGAGCCGGCGGTCTCTCGAAGAACCGACCAACTGTTAATGTTTTCTGCTGAATGAATACTAGTCTCTTTTGTTGATGTTCGAGTGTGTAAACGCTGCTGAAGTCTGTGAACTGCGTGTCAAATTTCTGGGTCATATCAATCTGTTGGCAAGCTTGTCTAGAGCTCGCACTCAACCAAAATTTGGGGATTCCAGAATCTGGAAGTCCAGTTCAGTTGCATTGGATTTGGAAGTCTCATGTCCCATCTAAAATGATATTCTTTATGTGGTCTGCAATATTGGAAAGATTGCTGAGGATTGACCTTGGCTAATGTGTGTGCTCTGTGCTATTAAATGGGGGAATCTGGCCCTCATCTGTTGGTTCATTGCAAATATTCCTATCAGGTGTGGACCCATCATACTCTTAATGTGGTAAATGGTGTTTTTATGAATTTTTTGTTCATAAAACTGTCCTTATTCACATATTCTTAGACAAAAATGCCCATGTTTTACTTCTTACGTAAAACTCTACCCTTCTCTCAAATGTCTGGGTCAGTAGTTTGACTGTCTGGGTTGAATGGTTCAACAGTTGATCAGTTTCCTAGCCTTGTCTTGGCACCTCAGAAACTATGTTTGGAGTTAGAACAGGTCAATGAGCATGCTAATGACCTGAAAGATCTCAAGAAGATTCTTATTGCAGTGAGATGTTTCAAAAGTTTTTGCTCGATTGAAAGGGAGTTTATTTGGGGTTGGTCCAATCAAGAAGGTAAAGAAAACAAAGAAAGTCGTTAAGAAGTGGTAGAGAGGTTTCTGTTTAAATTTCCAGAGAATTTGAGTGCTAAGGTGAAATATTTGGAATTTTAAGGTGTTTGTTAGTTTATCAGTTTGCAGGTCATGTGATCTTGGTTGGGGGTTTGGTTTCTCTATGGGTTGGTTATTTGTTCGTTCATATTGTTGCTTGCAGTAGAATGTGTTGGAGCTTTTTGGTTATTGTTTTGATTTGGGTGAAATTTATGTGTTTTTTTTTCTTGCTTTGAAGAGTTGTGGTTATTCTAGAATGTGTTGCTCGTAGTAGTATTCTTCTCTCTAGAATACCATATTTGCATTATGTTGTAGTCAAATGTTTTGTTCCTTATCTTTTAATTGTCTATAAGTTCATGCCAAGTTTGAACTGTTGCTTTTATGCTGTGACATCTATTTCAGGTCATCACTTCAATGCATGAAAATATAGAGGTAAAGTTAATACTGCTATCCTGTTTCTTTGTTTATTATCTATTTTCTAGAAAGAAATTCTATTTAAATGCTCCTAAGCTTGTTGACATTTCAGTATTGTGCATGTTTCTTATAATTCTTTTTTGAAAAAGTAATTAATTTTAACATGTTTATATTCTAGTTGATCTACTGGAGCTCATGATTTTGGTTATGTACTCTTGTTGTTCATACTATTGGTTGGAGTTGGACATTGATCTTTGAATTTGATTAGGTAACTAAATTGATAATATAGTTCTTTCTCTTGGGAGTTGGGAGTTGACACATGCAATAAGATTTAGGTTGTATTTGTAATGTAATTTATAGTCTAGAAATTGGCATCTATTGGTATTTGGCATGTGTACATAAAGAGTGAGATGATTTACATGAACATCTGATTTGTTTAAACATTATAATTTTATTTATATGGAAAAAGTTTACCTAGTCAGGTCAAGTAGCAACTTTCTAGACGACCCTAGCTGCCCACCTTTTTCCACCTTGTGAAAGATCCATGGAGTTGATCTGCACTACTAATTTGGTAGAGGACTATTTGGATTATCAAGCGTTTATTCCCAAAATCCATATTATCACTGTGGTCAACATTGTATTAGAGTTTTATTTGAGTAATAATAGGCAATAGCTCTACAAAATTCCAGTTTTTAACTTGGAACAAGCCTTTAAAGAAAGGCTCTCATGAATAAAGGTCAAAGAGAAGAACTTGACAACCTTTGCAGATCCCATAAAAACTTATAATGTGGAAAGTTGCTGGATAAGTTAGACTTCTTCACTAAGTGGCCCTAGTGGCAATAATGCAGGAGCTAAGCGGTCAGATTAGTGTTATTCTGAAACTCTTATGTATTTTTGTGTTATTAGGTGGTAGTAGTATGTAGATTGACCATTTTTTGATCAGTAACATAAAAAGATTTTTAGAAATAATGTTAACCTCAGCTAACCACCACAGAAATATTACAAGTTCACCCCTGCTTTGCCAACCCACAAACCATGGGGCCATTTGATAATGGCTGAAGTGGTTGAACTGAATGATTTACTGCTTTGTCTTTTGGTGGATAAAATTCTTAAAACAATACAATATTTGATGGTATAGTAGTTAATCCAACTTTAGCTTCAGCCATTAAGGAGTTCACAACTTCCTTAAAACTCATTTGCTAAATGGCAAAGTAATAAGTCATTTATTTCAGCTACTTCATCTGTTTTCAAATGGCCCCTGAACTTTGGCTGAACATGGTGTCCATTTGTAAGTTGTGCCCCATTCCGATGCCAACTCGTTAATCTTCCTTAAGGTTAACTGTACTTCCAAGCTCCTCTTGTATTGTTTCTAATCCAGCCTAAGATTACATAAGAGTCTCCTTCAATCAGAAGGTCTTTGAAGTCTGATAATTTTTCTATCCTTAATCCATTAAGTGCCGCCATAGTTCTACTTAGATGGAGTCCTCAAAAAAAAAAAAAAGCAAGCAGGTGCCAAGTACAAGAGCAAGATGTTTCCTTCCTAGTTTCGAAATGCACCCCTTGCCCAGATAGGGGTGCCAATTCTATATCCTTGTTTCTAATAATTTCTACTCTTTTTATGTTTTCGTTTCATTATCAATGAAAAGATTGTTATTGACAAAGGAAATTGCCATTGCTTAAGTAGACTAGTAGTTACTTAGTTTTCTTTGGACTAAAGCTGTACATGTGGTAGAACGATATTTTTAGTTTTCTTAGTTTAATAGGGAGTTTTATTGTCCCTGGAGAGTCTATATATGTATACTGTTACAAAAGCATGCCTAATGAAAGTTGGATATTATTTCTATTGTGTATGACATTTGGCGAGTGATTGCCAAAGCATACCTATGAGGCGTACGCCTCATGCGCTTTTTTCATGAGGCGTGCTAGAGGCGTACATCTCATGTGCCTCTTGCACATCTTATATAAAAAGACAGAAAAAAAGAAAAAAGAAAAAAAAAGGAAAGGAAAATAAAGGGTAGGGAAAGAAAAAGAAAGAGAAGAAAAAAAGAGAAAGGGAAAGAAAAGAAAAGGAAAGGGAAGGGAAGAAAAGATAAGGGAAAAGAAAGTGATTTGCCGGTCCCTTCGGCTGGGGGGCTTCGGCCCCCAGACCCCCCGCCCCCTTTTTAATGCAGCCCAATTTGTTTTTTTATCAGTTAGGGGGGTCTTGCTCTGCTCTGGCGAGTGAGCGAAGCGAGCTCGCCTYCGCTTCGACAAGACCTCCCCTTTCAACTAATGTTATGCATCTTTATTCTCCTTAATATAAAAGATTCTTATTAAAAATAAAGAAAAATGAGATCCCCCCTTCCTCTTCATCCTCCTCCCCTTCCTCCTCTTAACCCCCCTTCTCTTAAGGAGGCCTCCCTGTGTTCGAGAGGCTTACGCCTCTTGCGTTCTGAACTATGCCTCATGCCTCTAGGTAGTGCAACGCCTCGCGTCATGCCTTCGCGTTTTAAAACATTGGTTCAAATAGGTTGGGTCTTCACCAAGGTTCAACACTTGGCCCTTATCTATTTGCATTTAGGATTGGAGACCAAGAGATAACTCAATGTGATCATTTTTGGTACAGCGGTATTTTGGTACAATAATTCATAACAAGGGAGAGATTGAGGAGGATGCCACCCAGAGACTTTTGTGTAGTAGGAGAATACCACCTATTAAAAGGGAAGTTAATATTAGAACAGTTGTAAGGCCAACTATATTGTATGGAGTAGAGTGTTGGGCTCAAGAAACAATGTGTTCAGAAAATGAGTGTGGCAAAAATGTAAATGCTATGATGGATGAGTGGAAAAACTAGAAAGGATAGGATCAGGAATGAAGCCATTCATAGAAACCAAGGGGAGAGAGAGAGAGAGAGAGAGAGAGAGAGAGAGGACATGGGCAACTATAGAATGGATTGGTGAAATAGGATTCATGTAGCCAATCCCATATAGTTGGAATAAGGCATGGATGATGATGTCTAGTCGGTCCAACTGTCCAAGTATGGCTTCATTCTTGTGTAATACCCAATTGAAAGTTTTACATGGATTCCTTTCTTCTCTCCATCTATTCAGTTTCTTATGAATAAGGAAGTTGAATGTCTCTTTGTGAATCAATGAGCCTTACAAGCTTAATAAGAAGCTTCCAAAGGAAGAAACTTGCTCCCTAAGCTTGCCCAACAAGCCACTTACAAAAAGAAGTTAGATTGTTCTAAACCTGCCCCAAACAGTTACAAACATAAAGCCAAACAAAGGGAAATTACTAGACTAAGACCTGTTCCCAAACATATCCCACTAAACATGCAAAATTGCCAAAATACCCTTGCTGTCCAGAAATGTAAGAAAACCAAAGTAGTCTTGTCCAGCAGCAAGCTTAACCACACAGAGCATCTTAAGGTGGATTGAAGACTCTAGGGTCTTCTCAAGTTGATGCACTGCTAACCCAGCTCCCATGTGGGCCCCATTTCTTCATAATGATGCCAAATGGAGCATAGTTCTCTTTTGATATGCCTTAAGTTGATCCCCATCACTCTTGGTCCTAAAACAATAAAATTATTTTTAACTATTATTTTCTATTAAAATTTTTATTTTTAAATGGAATTTAAATTTAGTTTAAAAATTAAATAATGATGACCCATATAGGAAGGGTTTATTTCTCACCCATATAATGAAATGCATTGTACTATGCACAGTAAATGCATAGGGATCCTATCCCTTGTATTGTATTACTATGAACTACATGATGTTGTACAAGTGACACATACAAGCCCCATCCCATGTACTATATGGGTAATCTGAAATTGGGTCACAAGAACTGCAAGGGGCATTAAGGTATTCCCAATTTGGGCAGAGCCAGTTTGACTCCAATCGAAGTTTTTTTTGGCTTATGTATTGTTAGATAAATTTGTATTATTTTTAAATTGATTTTAGCTTAATAAAAATTATATTTTAAAATCAATAAACTTTTATCAATATTTATGGAATTTAAATTGAATTTTTTGAGAAAGGTAAAGTATTGTTAGAAGTTAATAATTTTTTGTTTTTACATTATTTTTAAATGAAATTTAAATTTAATTAATATTTATTATTATTAATTTTATTTTTAGTAATTGTTATATATGTTTTATTTTTTATTGAATTTATGAATTCTTATCAATTTTAAATGGAATATGAATTAATAATAATTAATTTTAAAACTATTAAAGTTCATTTTAAGTTATTAACTTAATTAAATATGTAATTGAATAAAAAAAGGAAAGACAAAAGAGGAGCCCACATACACAAAGCATTATTGATGCATATGTAGAAGTAAGGGAAGAACTCATGGGGAAACAAACAAATTCTCCCCTATATCAATTTTGGAATTTTTGGTTATATGATATCAATACTCTTTTTTAGTTTTTTATTTATTTTCAAGTTGTTGGTGTCTTAATAACTGTTTTTTTAGAATTTTATTGCTGCTCAAAATTATATTTATGGTTACTATTGGACCTATTATTTATAGTAATTCTCATGGTTATATTTTTAGTAGTTTCTGGTTTCTTTAAAGTAAGTTAGTCTTAGTGGTATAAGGAAAGTGTTATTAGAGTTGTTTTGGAGTTGGGAGTCCTTATTTAAGTGCCATTATGAGTTACTTATGGATTTGTCTTAGTTTTGGAACAATTAAAAGTTGTTTTGGATCAGTTTCCTAGTGCAAATTGGAGTATGTAAACGGACATCCAATTTAATAAGTTTGTTTTAAAGGAATAAAGATTGGTTTAGTGAATTCTGGTTGTTGCCAGAAAATTCTCGTTTTTTCCTCCCCCCTCTCATTTCTTCTTTTAAGCAATCTGTCTCTTTGTTGTTTTTCCTTACAACAAGAGTTCAAGGTTCAAAATTTCACAATGTTTAGTTAGGTCATTGATACACTAAATCCAAGCCTTTTGGGATTTTGACCCATTTCAGGTGGTAGGCAGGCCTTAGACTGCCCCGTGACCAGTTTTTGGAAAAAAAATGGAAAAAAAG